TCCTCGCAAAATGTTGCGAGCTATTTTTCGAGAACATAAACATGTAAAAGAAAATTATATCGAAAATTATAGCTATTTGACTTTAATTTTTAAACTTTTATATTTTTTTATATTTTACATTTATGTATATTTTTATATTCATTTTTATTTGTAAATTTTTTTACAAAATTGCAGCAATATTACTATTAATACAGATGCGTCGTTGTATTCTGATTTGCGCAGATGAGAACAGTGTTTAATATACATATATTCGAGGCACAGAGATTCAATAAAAGCACGACTTAATATCTCGAGGTATTGCACGGAATTATTTCAAGGTATTCGAGAAATGCTGCTAATTAGAACGAATAGAAGATACAAAGGATCGCAAACTATTGTTCCGGAAAATAAAAAAGAAGTAGCACCTGGTACAACTGGCGGCAGAGCGGGCGCAAGAAACTGCCCGTAATAACCCATTTCGAAACGACGTTGAAACCGCGGCGTAAATGAGTCAACCCTACTACCTACGAAAGCCTGGTCGAGGGCTTATATTTCATAAGTGAGCGGTTACACCGAAAACCGCGCGACACTTCAAAGGTGCCGCGGAAGAGGCTTGAGGTCTGCATAAAATAACCCGGAGGTCAAAAGTATCCCGTTCCCGCGGAAAGTATCCCGCCTGCACGCCCGTTCGCATAAATTCAAGGACTAAACTGTCATTGCAGAGGTTTCGCATGGGCTACGCCCTTAGATGCGATGCACATTCAGAACTGCAGGCAGTGGCATTTCGAAGCGTAAACCCACGGCACGAGATCTGTATATATGTATGTGTCATATATATGTGTACTGGTTGTTATTGTGCACTGTTCACCCAGAGTGAGCTGCCCATCATAGGGTTGGTTAGTGCGTAAACACACGTGCAACATGATGCGTTGTGATAATGATGCAACCTACGCAGCGGTAATCTAGTGTGGTGATCTCATAAATATATTTATATGCATATATTTACCCTTGCCTTTTATTGTTATAAAGTTTCGCAAACCACATCGTTTCCTAACAAATGTCTTTCCGTTGTCATCGCGTTGAGTATCCCCGCCCATTTTTTAATTATTCCCCTTAAACGTATTTCTACGCGTAACTGTTGGAACGTCGAAACGTTTTTACGATTATTTTCTCTAATTAAGCTGTATGCGAAAGATTTAATCAGTATCTCTCTTTCTCGTTAATCCGATGTAGAGTTATTTGCAAACGCTTTTCGCGATTTACGCGGAATATCTGACAATTAATTTGCGATGGAAATTAAAAAAAAAAAAGTATAAGAACAGGCTGCTATGTAGCGGATCAAACAGTTCTATATTTGATATAATTTTTTATAAAAATCTCATTTGTCTTGTGTACACTCGTTTTTATCTATTTTTGCGTTGCGTCAGTCCCCCATGGAGAGATGGTCGTATTTTTTTTTCGATATCAATCGGTTCCACGTTCGCGATATCAATCGAATATATTGGTTTTCAGATATATGCGCGCATCGATTCAACAAGTACTGCACGTGCAATTAAATGTGCATTACTGCGAGATTTCATATCTCGTTCGCGTTGGTACTGTGCATAGTTCTATAATGGCTTGCTGCTGTGCAGCTGCATTTCTGGCAATCTGCGTCTTGAATGGCAAAGAAAGAAAGAATTCCATTTTCAGATGACGAATAATGAAATTAGAAAATACAGACTTCCATAAAAAGCATAAATCAACGGTATAATAGTATTTTCTCTTTCTCTCTTTCTTCCTTTTTTATTTTGTTTCTTTTTCTTTTCCATATTCTGATGAATGTGGAAATAACTTTTTCTTTATCTAAAAATTAAAAAGTGTGGTTTAATTTAGAAAATTATATTAAAACGATTTTAACGTGAGTTTAAGCTTCAAGATTGTGAATAAATAAGAGCGAATTCCAATTAGAAAATTAAATTTTGTTTTTATAACACTACAATCATTTCTTAGAATTTTCACATGTGTGTTAGTTTTTGCTTATAATTCACATAATAAAAAAAATTTAGTTTTTAGTTGTGCAGTATTATCAGAAAATTTGCGTTTTACCGCAAATTAATTAGATTAATCTTGAACAGTTCGTATTTTTTTGAGAAGAAAAATGCGTGATTTTATACCATATCTTTGTCTTAGCAATTTATAATACAACAGCATAAATTTGTTCGAGGTCTCTTATCAGAAATAATTCCAGATATATCCGCTTTAACCTGGTCTCGAATTTCTCGCTTGATTACTTAACTTAGATAACACATAGCGTTACATCTATCTTAACCTATGTAGGCTTTGTGGGAATGCGGGAATTCTAGAGAATGCGGTTGAGCATGCGAAGCAAGCATCGTTAGCGTTTCTACCTTTTCTTCATATATATGAAATAATGTCTGCTTTGTAAACGCGCAAATAAGTAACGTTTTACAATATTTATTTATTGTATTCTTGTTTATAAAACATGAAAATAACTTTGTTGTTATAAGATATATTTTCGACAATTATTATAATTGCAATAAATATTTATTAGATAGTAAGTTTGATATTAATTCTAAAAAATTTTAATGTTAGAAAAATAAAATGAACAAAAATATTGATCATTCTTAAATGTTAGAGTAAAATTAATAACAATTTGATTATTTAATTAACTTTAAATAAACTTTACTTTAATGTAATTTATCAAATTAAAAGTTTTTTCTGAAAACAATTGCGATAAAATTTTGATCGAAAAAATCAACTTCAAGTTTACTAAAGAATGTTGAAACAAGGTATGTGGCTTAAAAGTGCATTCGTGAAACTTTTGACAAGAGTAAGCAATTAAAAGATCGAAAAGAAAGTTTTGCAAGAGATCTTACAAACTTACGAAGCTTTCGTTTGTCGAATCATGTATTTTGATTAAGGAACAAATTACAAGATTATTCGATTCGTCGTTTTGCATCTCGGTAAAAAATCAAATAATTTTTTTTCCAAAATCCAATATTGCGAAAAGATTATAATAGATAAAATTATGACATGAATACATTATTATACATCAAAATTCTCTTCGCAATATAATATAATGGATTGCAATATAAATTTTTTTTCTTTGACAAGACTAGCAACATTTAATCTCATAATAGAAAATTTCACGATCCGTTAGGTAAACTCAAGCGATTTTTTTAATTTTCCATTGCGCGGGACACAAAAGTGTGCTCGTGGGAAAAGAAATATAGCCTTCCTTTGGACGCTTACAAAGAAAATCCCGGGCGCTTAAATATGACGTAGCGACCGCCTTCTCATAATCTGTATTCAACCGCTGTAATCACTTTCGCTCACTTCTTTCCGAGATTGAATTTCACGGGTAGCTGTTTAAAAAGTAGAATTTATATTCGGCTGAGCGCACTTACCGTGCAGGGAATAAGCATCAATGCTACTCGATCATTAATCATTGATCAAGATTCTTTTTCTTTTTGCTCGCGTCGCCATATATCATATTAGATCATGCGAATTGTATCATTCTTTAACTGAGAAAATTCTAAAGTCAGCAAGTGCTCCTCTTAATGTGACTCTTATGTTTTTGCCAGTATTATTTGTTGAAGCTAGCAATTAATTTTTATTTAATCTATCAATTACAAAATATATGTGAATGAAGTTTATTCCGGACTCCCCTAAAGGTTGCCGAGGCGTTTTCAAGGGACCGTCAAACCCCTCACAATCTCCAATTACATAATATATTATACTTATTAATTTAGTTATTTATTTAAATTATTATTTTGATATATGCAAATTTTCTGATGAAAAATATAAAAAGAAAGTTGTATATATATATGTATTTGTATATGTATATGATAAAAAAAAGGAATATTTGATGATCTTATAATAATCGGGTAATCTTGTTTTTTACTCGCGATAGTATGCCCTTTAAAAAGTTCAGAGTTGAAACAGTGTATGGATTATCATTAGATAATCAATAACAATTATGTATAACATGTAGGCTTCTCACTACATGGTTCTCTTGTTAGTTCTGTTCGGCTTCACTTGATTGGTTATCAGAAACTACCATCTAAGATTCAATTTCACTGCAATGCTGATTGTTATTTGAGAAGATTGTGTTGCGTTTCTCTTGTAATTATTTCAGATGTCCTTGCATTTATATGTTTTCCCACAATTAGTTTCTATAGGATGTACCGTGTAAAGATTAGCTAATTCTTTTACGTATAACTTCAAAAATAGTATTTAAAAATAAAAAATTATATTTATATTACATCTTAACATTGAAAACGTTATATAACTAACATATATATACATATATATATATTAGGAAATTGCTTACTTTTTTATATCGATTCAAACTTGCAATTACTATAAAATACTCAAGAAGAGAGAGAGCTAGAGAAATTACGTTTCGCAAAATTCTGTACTGAAAACGAGGTACGATGAATAGAAACTATTGATCTATCTGATCGTCTACATTGACGAAAACTTCGATAAACTTCTTACGATTCACTTACAAATCACTCTACCGTACGATTCACCCGAATAACTCACTTTCGACGCCATCATGACTCCCGGAACGATAATGATCCATTAAGAAAGCCGGAACTCTGTCATTCCGGCCAATACTTTCAGTTCGCTCGTTGCCGTCGCGGCTCAACGAGAACTGATCTGGCGCAAAAAGAGAGAAAGAAAAAAGAGAGAGAGAGAGAGAGACATTAATCGGGGAGAATACGGCGCCAGGAGCGCGAGTCCTCTAACTTTTCATCGAACTGGAAACCCTCGTCTTTGTACTTGGCGCGGGACGTCGTTGAGTGCGCAGGATGACGAAAGAGAGCAGGGTGTCGGATATAGGGCGAGTGTTCACCTCCCAATTCCGGATGAACGGATTTCGTTGAAAGCAGATTTACATCTCTCCAGCGTTCTTACCTGCTCGCTCGCCCTCTCTCGCGTAAATTCGCTTTTTTCGCGACATTTTCTTCATACGATGTTACGACGATGGGCTCACGCTTGATTTGTTACAGGTGGACCCGACCGCGAGGCAACAGCGAACGAAAGATGACGACGGGGCGCAGTGGAGCGAGATCAATCTCACCCTTCAGCCATTCCATTACACGAACGGCCAGTTGACTCTACGTTGCACCGCACAGATACCCGGCATCTATTCGTCGATGAACGAGCTCCAGCTCGGCGCGGGTGTGCGCGAGCCTGTGCCCGAAAGAGGTGACTATAAAAATTTTATTTTCACCGCCCAGGCCGCCTCCTTCTACCTTGCCACTTCCCATAATATCCTACAAACTGCCGGCCACGGATTTCCGTGCCTTATAAATCCCTTCTTCTTCCGGGATTTCGCGATTTCGCAACTCGTTGGCCGTTTTCACGAACTTTCGCGATATAACGTGTACTATTACGCCTGATCTCCGAGTCGAATGGCGTCGTTTAGAGATCGTTACGTCGAAATGGAGAAAGGTCGGAGAATATTCTGCGCCCTTAGCTTATGATTTAACATTTTTCTAAGCTGCGATTTAATAGCTTCATATATATTTACGCGTTACCATCCTCTTACTTCATTCGATTCGAGCCAACTATTTGAATGATAATAATCGAATTTAGTTTCCAACGTGAATATATTCGAAGGAATGTTCAAGGTTAACGTAAATGAAATCAAGTCTGATTACGTTGGTTCAAGTTAAATTACGTTCGATTAGAATCAGATCAGGTTTCTCGATATCCAATATCGCTATATGTAATCTTACCAGCGGATTAGTATGTGATAGCCTCCTTGTGACATATATATCGGTAATTGCAGCAAATTCAATAGTAAAGCTCGACGAAAAGATCGTCAGGAGCGCGAGAAAAGAGAGAGAAGGAGAAAGAGTGACAGACGGTGAAATATTTGCTTACGTGTTGTAAGACTATATTCGATCTGCGGTCGCTCGTCTGTTCTTTTGATGATTCTGCGACCAACACTAACACGCGCTCTGCGAGTAATAGTCGCTCACGCTCGGGCTACCGGAGCCCGGGATTAGTCGGTCGGTCGCACGGACTAATAAATTTCGAGAGCGGGGTCCACCCACTTGAAATCGGTAAGGAAGCCTCCGGTGCATGCTGCGCTCGCTTCCTGCACGCGACGTCGACGAGATTTAATTGAGCGGCCACGGATATAACCGACGCTTCCATTACCCTTCCGCTCGACCGACCTGTCCTTTCGCCCTTTGCCCGCCGTATCCGGCGTTCCAACTTTCGTCGCCGCGTGTACGTGCACCGTCACTGACGCACCGATGATGTGTCTGCCGTTTCTCTCGTGGATGTTGCATAGACGCGAAATAATTCACGAAAGTTTTGCTCACAGAAGTACAGATTTTCAAAGTTGCGCATCTACTTCGCTTTTCTCTAAAAGCACGTTAATCGGAGTACTATTTGTAAAATGATAATTTTGGCATGTATTCTTAATTATTTTAATTCTTTATGAAAATTATTCTCCATTCGAGAGAGATTTTTTATTTAATTATAATGTTTGAGAAAAATTGCAACCAAATATATTACATGACAACATAATTCATTATTTGCGTGTTCTATATATTTTATTAATTTTTACTCGACTTTTTATAAAAAAAAAAAAGATAAAATAATACTATTAAAAGTTTTAATTTCAGTAAACATTGCGCTTTTAGAAAATAGCCAGACTCTTTTATTATGAAATTATCGAACACGCGCGCGGTTACTACATTTTATCTATTAAATCTCGTTGTAATGTCATGTCATTTCGACAAGTTCAATTTTGTTCAAACAATCGCGCACTATTAATTCTGTGCCAGAGATTGGAAGCTAGTTTAAAACCTAGCTTTGAAGTTGCAGCAGTATGTGTCAATAGATTACACTGATGTAGCTCTCACTACCAGTGTACCCGTTGGCAATCCCAATTTTATGATCGCATTCGTACCCTGCGGAATCGAAAAGTATCGTCTGCCGATAATCTATATCCTGGTGTTTTGAATCTGGCTCTCCATGGATTCTGTTCAAAATACGGGTGATTGGATACTTCCGCTCGCTCGACGGTCGGGAAAATATCCAGTGGGTTTTTGCGTATTGTGCAATTCGTCCTGGGAAAATACGATGAACGTATAAGCGTTGTTATACACCTTTTTGTCCCTTTTATAATACGATATTCCCTTTTTCAGAAAAACCACGTTATACACGAGTTTTATTGTTTGCTATTATATATCATATTGTGCGTGCGGTTTTTTGGTTAATAAATACCATACTTCATTTTTCAACAGTGCTCAACTGCACAATCAAACGATACTTAAATTGTTAACGCCACAATCTGGCACAATCATATTCTACGCACTTCATCTTGCTTCGAACGTACTTTTTTATTGTTATGATAAATAGTCTCTTAAAAGATTTTCTTGTTATTTTAAAATATAACGTAACTTTTTCGTATGCTTTTATATTTTATGTAGCGACGTAAAAAAAAAAACTATATGCGTTATGTATGATTTTCAAAAAAAAGAACATTCCAAAATTTTCAAATAATCAATTTAACAAAAACTATCAATAGAACACATATCTAACATTCAAAATATTAAGGAGAATTCAACGTCAAAGTGTTCAAAGGAACTATGGATGAAACGATAGTACGAGATATCTAAAATACTATATAGAAATTTTCAAGATCTTGTCTCTATACTGCAGATGTAAGCTTTTATACGCGTGAAGATATAGAATATATTTGCGTTTGGTATAATATAAAAGAGGGATGTTGCCGTACATTTTTTAGTGATTTTCTTCCGCTGACGTGAACTGAAGTTTAATATGTGAAACGGGTGCAAAGTAGATGGATGACTTGAAGAGATGGTTGGCAGGTGTTGTCGCGAAGACGGTCGCGAAGAATGTTCATGAATTCACCGACGTAGTTGGCGCCTCAGAAAACTTCTTATCACGACATTGGAGGATGATGATGCGGGCGAGCGCGTGATATGCAGCGCGTGTGCCGCTTTAATACGTCAAGCTGATAAACTCGCGTTATTTCGATATAGCCAATCAACTATGCAGTGGTAAACCAGAGTTATTCCGAGGTAGGTAATCAACTATGCTGCGGTAAACCGAAATATCACACGTAATACGAAGCTAAAGTTACAGCGATATTGCAGTATACATTGTTAACCATTATTAAGCATAATATACGCGTATACGCCGTATCTCCGTTAAGTAATGATATTCTTCATTTCTTGATAGCACGTTCAATATAGATTCTAGACAAGAGAGACCTCCAATGTCACAAGCGCCGATAAATTCTATCAGCTATATCAGTAAAACATTTTGACATACAATCTGCCGAGTAATCCTTTTCCCCAAAAGTGCATACATACATATTTTCGCAATTTGCGCAAATAAAGGAAAACCATTTGTACGGGAAACGAAATTAACGCGCGTACATTCAATTCTGTATACAAGTTGACCAGTTGCCAGCGGCGTAAATTTAATAAATCGCGGCGGAACATGGATTACGAAACATAAAAATTTCGATTTTAGCGCATGGCGGCATTTATCAAAAGTTGGTACACACATCTGACGGTACCATAATCACTTTTCCGCCGGTTCGTGTATTAATCCCTTGACATTTTTTGTTAAATATTATTCGCATCTGTCGAGACCTACTGCACTGTTAAGCTGCAGTGGAGTTTGGTTCACCTCACATATTTGTTTATTTTGAAAAGGCCGGAGGTCTGTATTCCGACGAAAGCGAGACGTACATTTTATTTTCAATGACGTTTGCCCGATAACATTTAATAAGCGCCGATCGCATGCAGCATGCAGTATTCTATAAAAGACTTGTGTGGCATTTACGGAAAATAAAAGCGACCACAAAAATAGTATTTTTCGTTACGTTCTTTTTTTTTCATCTCAATAACTCGTGTCTTTTATAGAATGTCCGATTTATATGTATAATACTATTGATATAACACAATATATAAAACATGATAAAACGGGGAGGTTAATCTTGTGCAATGTTACCAATTCGATATAACGTCACTTCACAGTGAATTGTTTCTTTAGCTATTTTTAAACCATAATTAACGCTAGAAAGCTGTTATTGGCAAAGCAGTTTTATATATTTTCCTTAGTTTATATTTTGATATGTTTTATAAGTATGTATTACAAATTACATTTATATCAGTTATTATTATATATTGCATATATAGCTGACATGTGTATTTATTCAACATTATATTAATTATTCGGTGCTGAGCTTACAAAGTGATTCATAAGTATGAATAAAAAATAATGTGTAAGTTTATATATTTATTAATAATTTTACTTGTCAAATTGATTTCTACTAATTTTGTTAAAATGTTTTGTTTAACTCAATACACATGAAGGCATATTATAAATATCTAGATACATTCGCAAAATCGTAAGTTAAATGAAACAAGTCGAGAAATAACAGACATGTTTAAAAAATCGTATATTCCTTGATTGATTGACGCTTGTTTCGCGTCCGAATTACAAAACTTATGCAGGAATATAATCTCGTTGGGCTAGAAAATGTATTATTTCCCACCGAGATAATGTCATATAACATTTCCACGCGTGTCACGCGAGATTGCGTCTTTCCTCCGGAGACTTTGTTCTCGCACAGAAAAACTCGCGTCGTGTACACGGAAGTTTAACGGCAGCTATCACGAAATTTCGGTAGATTTCAATGTATACCCTCGTCCCACATACGCCGATGCGGTACCGAGATACGAAAGATTCGCGATGTCTCGTTGGGGAAACTTGCTCGAAACGAGACGACGGTCCTCACGACGAAACTTGGTTTCTTCTCTCTTCCTTCTTCCCTTTCTCTCTGTTTCATGTGTTTTCTTCTCTCGTTCCTTCAGCCTTGATATATCCTTCCTCTGAAACCCCATCCACCAGCTTCGCAAATTATCCAAGTCCGGGACGCTAATCTCACGTGTACGACGACGAACGAGGTAAGAAGAAAGAGATTTGAACATCTTTGGGTCTACAGTTCGTCTGCAGTTCAAAGGTTACTCTGCAGTATATATTCTACGTGTGTATTCTATACGTTTGAGTATACATGCGAAATTACATAGAATGATTTGGAACAACGCGGCACCGTACAGTTAGAAATAATTCCACATTGTTTCACATTGCAACAAATTAATTTTACTCTCGAACATTTAATTAATTTGTCTGTATAATTAAAATCTCATTATCGTATCTCATTAACGAAACCTTTTCGTGTGCATTATCCGTTTCTCACGGTTTGCACATAACATTGCTGTACTATCGTTATTTAATACATAATCTTTTTATATCGAATATATTTTAATAAACGTTGTTTTTATGCAATTTATAGAAATTATTTCGTCCTGACACGCTGAGAAACTTTTTAAGCTTAATCGTATCTCAACAAAAAATTTATAAAAACTCATTATTATTTCGCCTTCTAGATCGGGTATTAAATCCCGCGTTGCCCTCTAATTACACACCGTGCGTATAATTTCGCGTCAGCCATGCCCGATCGTAGCGCAGAACGAGAGGGTATTCTGGACGCACTTTAAGAGTAGTTGTTATCAAAGCTTTGCATAGCCGATTATTACGCGGCTCTTGTTCCCGTAAATTCTCCTCCGGGCGAAGAGAGAGGAAAACGCGCGTGGCGCTTTTCGATCGACCGACTCTCCTGAAGACGACGCTTATCGGCTCCGCGCGCAAGTAGACACAACCATCGCTCGTCAGCCAGATAGGGAAATGGCTCGCGCTGCGCTCCGACACGGCAGCTGTGCGAAAGCCTAGATGATTGATCGCTGACACTCCCGGTACTGTCATTACCGGAAGTGTCATGTAGATGATTCGTCTCAAGACCGATTAGGATAAACCTTTTCGCCTCGAACAATCTATTTGCAATATTTCAATCCAAATAATATATGCCTTTAAAGTGTCGCCGTTTTTTTTTTTTTTTTTTTTTTTGTTTGCACACAAAGGAAACTATTTTCGCGATCGAAAACGCGAAGGAAAATTCTTTCTAGCTATTTCGCCACGTAAATGTAAAAAAAAAAACTCTGCGCCTAAAGCAATTGAATTTCTATTCAATTAATGAACGACACAAGCAGGAGAATACGGAGAATAAATACAATTTCGAAATTAAAACAGCACGGTTGTAGGAAATTTTCGAGTTGCGTTGAATCGGGATTCTGTTCTCAAGTTGTGTACGAACTCATTTTCAGGTGTCTAAAATTTATTGGTTTATGTCGAACTTTACCGAGTTTCTGATTACTTGTGAATATCCGATTAGTTTCGAGCGTAGGAAAATAAATGGATTACCGCAAGATGTGGAAAATGAGGACTTTTCGATTTAAGTCTTATCCTTTGGGTAAAGAATCTCTTTAGGTACTTTTTTAACTTCTTTGCGTAAAAAAGTTATCAAGGCGGGTATCGCACGCATTTATTTATATTCAAAACTTTATACTTATAATATGTAATATACACGTTGTAAGCAAATCAAAGTATTAGTTCTCACTTTTCAAAAGTACGTAATATTTTTAAAATATTCTGAATGTAATTTTTTCTTTTGCAATGTATATTGTATATGTATATTATCTTTTATTCTGCTATATTTTTTCTATAATTTTTCCATGTCATTTGTTTTAATATAAATTGACATATATAGCAGAATATATATAAATCTTGAATATATTATATATAAATCTTCTCTCTCTCTCTCTCTCTCTCTCTCTCTCTCTTAGTGAAATTAAATCAAATTAATTATGCTGCTTTATTTCGACCAAGTACATTACTAATTGCCTCGATAAATGTGGGTAATTTAACGATACATTTTCATGCATATTAAAACATCTCAAAATTGAACAACTGCATTAATTGCACATATAATTGACTTATAATAGTGGTATAGAAATATGTTGTTCAGTTAATGTACCTTAAGAGAGTAACTTTTGACCACTTTCCCGCTGCATTGCGCATGGAAACCTCCGTGCAAACGATGACAGAAATGCACTTTGGTTGTGTGTACTTAAGTGAATCGTTTCTCCGAAACTTCCCGAGGACTCGTGACACAAACTTACGAGCATTGGGCTCATGAAGTTTAACTGAAGAGTTTTTGCATCAAGAACTCTTTTCGAGAATTTCACGGCCTAGACCTCACGCACTTTTTAGGTCGCGACGGATGCCTTCAATCCCTTTAAGGGGCTCTTATCGAAAATCCATAAACGATACCTCACATAAGCCGTTCTTACGCTTACATTGCATTTATAAACGCCACGTAAAAATCTGATTCCGTTTACGAAAGTTTTATTCGCCAAGTTGCTTTGTATATATATTTCATATACAAATGTACGTTTCTGGAGCAACTTTATGTAAGTTTTTACTCGACATTCATTATGTTGTATATTCGTGTGAACTTACTACGGAAGAGACACTATTATACGGAAAGAGATTTTGTATTTCTTATCAGATTCCACTTTTAAATTTTTTTAGTAAATCTAGTAAATATACAACACGAAACAAAAAGAAAATAAATTCTGAAATAGTTAAGCTACATATAATTGAAAGAAAAATGTTTGATGAATATTTCGTATATGAATATATTTTACAACGTGTTTAAATGCGCATGAAAATGTATTACGTATGGCGCAGCACGCGATATCAATCGTTAGAGATGGGGAGATTATATTCATCATTTTTTATGTTCAAGTGGAATATTCCAAAAGTAATATCAACGATTGCTATCGAGAGTGAGCCGCTTTCCCTGGAATCCGAATGTTCGCGATTTTGCCACCGTTCGCAAAACTCTCGTACATTTTCGAATAAATTTGATGGAGCAGACTGGGGAAAACGTACATGGTGAACCACGACGATTGATAAGCGACCAAAAGAGATTTCGGCCCTCCTCAATTTTCAAACCTGTCAGAGCTTATTCCACTTTAGTCCCTTCCACCGTTCTCGGTCCCTTCCTACTGCCGTTACAGAAATTCATTCTCTTTTCTCGCCCGTAGTAATTTCATTTCGTTCACACCCGGTTTTCCGCGGGCGGCTGGTTGCTTGATTCGTACGTATTACTCCCTGGGCCGCGGTCGACAGAATTGTTTTTAGGAAATTGACTTTTCCACCCGACAGAAGGAACAATGCCCCGCGGAGGAAAATCCACTGACGTTCCACTTAATGGCGCTCCCCTTCCCGCCAGAGTTTCCATTCTAAAAGGGATTTCAACAGTTGACATGCGTCGCCTTGCCAACGAGATTTAATCTTGAGCGGGGAGAAAAATGTCATTTTACGCGAAATTCATCGCCCAATAATCTATCATATTTTAAATATCTTTTTCTCTTAAATATAGAACCAACTTTTCTCAGGCAACAGGAATGAGAGAAAGAGAGAGTGTGAGAGATGCAATTAATTTTTGTTTTTGTTTAGTTTCTTTTTATTTTTTTATCATTTATGAACTTTAAAATAGAAATTATATTTAATTTTTGTTCTCTTGCAGATTTAAGAAACAAAAATTCGATTTTAACCAATCTTATCAAATTCATTAAATATATGAAAATTTATGTTTTCTTCTGAGATAAGAAAATATTTCATAGTTATTGAGAAAGCATTCTCATTTCATAATTATATATTTAAATTCCAAAAGATTTTATTTCCCAACATGATTTTTAAATCTTTATTCATAATTCAACCGCTTGCTGTATATATAATTTAGAGTTTTAGAAATAATTCGTTTATTCTTCTCTTGAATCGTGCATAGAACACTCATGGATTAACCAAAATATTGTTATTGTTACAAGCATTACTACGGAATATATAGTCGTGTGTGTACATATGTGTGTATACAGCGTGATTATACTTTGGATTACAATAATATTCGCGTATGACACATCTGTCAACGTGTCAACATTAGAATCATGTTCGTTATCTATGCGCGCTTAGTTTTCATGTACGTTACATTTACAGCCAGTAATGTGCCAAACGTTACAAGCCGAACTAAAATCAACTGATTATCGGCGACATATTTCTCGATGAATTTGATATCTATTCACCAGATTTCGTGCGCATTTCTGTCCAATAGACATGTGTCGCTATTGCCGCTCTGTTATTGATTATAAACGTGTCGATTTTGAACGTAGCGCAGCATAATGATGACGTTTTAATGATACAAAATGTAACGCAGAATGTGTGTTTACTAATCAATATCCAGTGACATCAGGCACCACATTATCCAATTCCTCTCTTCCTTTCTTCTTTTATTCATAATATACTCTGTGCCGCTGTACAGATTTTGTATAAATTATTTAACGTAAAAAAATAAAGTTTCAACAAGGACGATACGCTGATACGTGCCATCGTTCTGTGCAAATAGGGACCACGTAGCGCATATAAATTCTGCAAAGATACTAAAAATTCGAATGCAGTGTAGAGAGAGTTTGTGGTAAAAATGTTCAACTTGGAAAAGCTTCCTCTCTTTTATTGAATTTTTTTCTATTTTGCGATATGATGAATAATAAAAACTATAATCCAATTTTAATTCATAGTTTTAATTTTAAATTGCTATAGAAAATCTTTTCCAAGAAATTTTCAAAAACGATATCTTGATCTATCAAAAATCATTCTTCAACTTTTTTCATAACAAGATACTACGATATTATAGAAAATTCTCTGTTTTTCTTCGTTCATATTTATTAATTGTATTATGCCATATTTTTAGCACATAAAATTAATAAAATAAGTTTTTTATTTATGGGTAATATAAGACACAAAAAGTAGAAATGTTACTAAATTAGGAAGATTGAATACAATATAAAGAAAGACTTATGATAGCAATTTGATGTATTTGTCAATATATTACATGAATATTTGAGATATATATTATATAGAACGTCTATCATATACGTTAATACTGAAAATAATTCAATTATATTTCGTGACTTGAAATTAAGCCTTGTCAGAAAGAGAGATCGCTTTATAATAATAGTTAATATTCCGAAAACTGCTCTTGTCCAATCGTGATGAGAAATAGTAACCTTTTTCCTAACATATGTTGCAGTAACCTCAGAAAACGGAAGCGACTTGAACACGATGACGTTTGTGACAATACTCAGCCTGGGCATGCTCCATCTGCTTCTGAGATAGTCACGGCACGTCTGAGACTACGAGAAGGGAGCTCACGGGCGTCGCATGATAAATAGCACACTAGTCAGCAAGAGGAGGGGCTGGAGGAAGAGACGACGGAATTTAAGGACCGCGTATGGATGGCGCAGAAACAAATAATATTGTTAAATTGATAATTACTCTAATATTTTTTTTTTCTCTCGTCTAGTGCGTTGAATTTTTGTTTTAAGATAGATTTTCTTTTTAAGAATTCTGCATGTTCCCCGGGTTTTCGTTCGTTAAGATTCTTGACAGCAATGTAGTATATAGTAACTTTCGATTAGCGATTCGTTTTTCAACTCTATGAACACTATGGTGAAATTAGAATCAAAAAGACGCGACATTTAAAATTTGATACTGCCGATCACGAAATCCTAAAATTGTTGCCGTTTTTTTAAATCATTATTTTGTAAGACGCGTCCATACTTACGCGCGAATTGTTTCTCGTTTGTCTTGTCAATGGACAGAGAAAAGAGAACGCGATCAGCGCGCGCATTAAAGGCTAACGTTGCATTCCAAATTGTACTGGCGGAGAAATCCGGCGAAATAACCACGCATTTAAATCCACTGTCGAAAGACTTGTTGCGACGCGCTTTACAGCACGATGAAGCGAATACGAAAAAGCGAATTAATCGCGTTCGATTATTGCCATGACGCTCAATTTGAGATTTGCACAAAAGGGATTCGTCCACGAATAAGAGCGACGAAGAAGGGAAAGGATAAGACTTTGAAGTCTGTTGCACATATACATGTCTGTAGGTGCTTGTACAGTCCGCCTCTGAAGGATTTGCGATCCTTGCCGCGAGAAAAAGAGTGTGTGTGAAAGAAAGAGAGAGAGAATGAGAGAGAGAGAGAGAAAAAGTGAAAGATGTTCTCTTCCGCTACATCACTGACAAGAAGGACCCGAACCGGAGAGATCACACAAAGGAAGAGAAACGGGATAAAGCGGTGCGAAAAGTTTTCGCATACCGAGCGAAGAGAATTCTCGTTTCGCGAAATCGTATCTCTCTTGGTACCCGAGGTAACAACGCACTCGATGTGCGCATTCGAATATCTCCCTGTTACACTCGCCTAGGACGAGCATGGCCGTCATGCGATGGAGAGTCCATTTGTCTATTGTCCAAACGCTCCCGGGCTCGCTCGCGTAGGCGGATCAATGTCGCGAATTTCGAAGCGGAGGACTCTCTGGACGCGCGCGCGAAAATAGACTACTGTGGATCTGTCTTTTTTTTTTTCTCTCCAAGTTCTCATTTTTTTGCTTTTTGCATGCGAGAACTACGTGGCTGTTGCTGCGGACGAATGCGGCTGTAAACGAGCAGGTATGTATTTACGATCATTTAGTTTTCAATCCCTCTTCCGGATTCGCTTTTGTAATAAGTCTGTCGCTCGCTATTTAATAGCGAATACGCTATACAAAAGGGACATATTTTGATACCGCTGTTTTTTTGTATTTATTCTGGTTTTTTTTGTTTAATGCAACGGGATATACATTTTATTTTTTTTTTTTTCTGCTTTTCCATGGACTTTGAAATGTAACGTTTAAACTAGGCAGATACCGATCTCTCCGACGTTTGCGCCGTAAAGTTTTTGGACGAGTATTTCGAAACTATTTGCAAATATACGACGTCCTGTCAAGCGTATAATTTGAAGGTAACCGATCGGTAGGAGATCGATTTATCGAAGAAAGGAGAGGAGAAAGTAACGCGCTTAGAAAGGCCTGGCCCGAACGTTGCGTTTTTCATTCTTCCCCTTCTCGTCTGTCTTCTCTTTATTAAACGGACGATAAACCTCGTGAGCGATTCCGCGCGTTTATGCTTCGCTCTTTTATTCCGAACACAAAATCGCGTTTGTATTAACTCTTATCCCTCTCTCTCAAACGCAGGACGTCTCTTCCCCTCTTCTTCTCTTTCCTTTTGCTCTTGCTTTCCGCGTGCACACAATAGCATTTGGTTCGATCGCCTACAAATCTCCGCGACATGATGCGTATCGACGTGAAACTGCATGGAAAGCATCATGCTTATTTTTTGCGGTGAGATACGACGATTTCCGATTGGTATGATAAATCGTGCCAAATCGGGAAAATTGTGTCGGACGTGCTAATAATTTCGTGCCACGCTCAAAAGGAAGATCGAGTTTCAATATTCTCGAAGTGCACTCTTCGAGAGTTGTAGGATTAATAATTTATAGTGATACTCGCGCGTAAAAGTTATTTTAACGTTTTATATTTGTTTAATTTAAAAAGTACGTAAAAACGTAGTAACATACATTTTAACAATAATGTTAACATTACATTTTTAAATTCGATCTATTCTCTTTTAATTTACAGAGTGAAAAAAATTTTTTAAATGTTGCTTTGTAAGGATACATAATATATGAATTAAACTGTTGAGTTATTTGATGTAAAAATTTCATTTACAAATGTTCATTTTTTTTTTAAATGTAATTTAAGCAGAATTTATTATTTTAAGAACAGGCTGATCTTTATGCCTGATGTGAAAAGAGCTTTTGTAATATTAATAATCAGATGAAAGAGTTCGATTTATTTTATTGATATTTTGCGATACTTCCAAAGAGAAATTAAATATAAGAACTTCTCCTAAAATAAAATTAAACTTATAATTTGATATATAACATTAGAAGTTTCTATGACATATAGTAATATTTTAGTAATATATATAAAATTAGAAGTTTCTATGACAAATAGTAATATTTTAAGTTGGATCATAATTGTATATTTTTAAGTTTCTTTATTTTTAAGATCCTTTGTAAATCATAGCGTTATATTGCTTTTGGGCATTATATTTTAATTTAAGATGTACATACTTATTTTTATCAGATTTAATAAACTATTGCATGTAGAACTACCGTTTTTTTGCCGAGACACACACACACACACACACTGATTCCAGTTATCTTTACAGACTTATTTTGAACCCGTTGAAGACAATATCTCGTTGCGGACGTTTTCATTTCCCGACGATCGCATTCCCCACAATCAGATCGAAGAATTTCCACGAACGCGCATAAATACATCCTTTTGGTGGTGCTCGCTCCCTCGCGCGAAGATCCTGTGCGCGCGCGACTTCTAAAATTCATTGCCCAAGCACAGCGAGTCTATAGACGAAACCCACAATTAACCCGGGCCGAGATCTCTACCGCTCTCACCCTTTCTATACAACTCGATTCCAGGCGAAGTCTTAGAAGGCGCCCGTACTCGTGCAAGCTCGAAGTTTGCACGAGGAATATATACGCGCAGGCAAGCAGGTACATCCAACCACTAAGGAGATAGCGTGTACCGCGCTGGAAACCCGTTACGGTGTTTGTGCATCTCGTCTGTGTGTGTGCGTTTGTTTGAGATGGTGTACGTGGCATGCGGTATGCTGGGTACGTTGGTGCCCGTGCACGTCCGTATACATCTCGAGGATAGTTCCTTCCTCACACAGGCGCGACAAAGGAAACGACGTTTCAGCTAACTGAAACGTCGTCGCCGTAACAATCACCACCTCTAGTCTAGTCGGCTAGACTATCCCTCGCCACCCTCAAACCCCGTCTCTCGTTTCGCCTCGCTCCTATATTTGCCACCTCCCGTGGGTCGCGCGAGTTTCGTCTCCTCGGTCTGTTGTGCCGATGTTGAAAGCCGAGCTATGGCAGAGCGAGAGCACCGCGAGTCTGTACTTTGGCGGCTGCGGTACTCTCTCGTGGCGCTATTCGCCGCTATAGTGCGACTTGGTTGCCGTAGCTGATTCAAAATAAACTTTGTTTCGCCGCTCTCGCTGATACCCACCTGTCTGACTGGCTAGTTGGCTTGCTTACTTGCTTGCTTGCTTGCTTGCTTGTCCAACCACTGTGTACGTGATCGCACTCGTTGCTGACGAAAGCTCTTCTCCTCCGTACACCTGGAAGCAGCCATTCTAGCTCCCTCCGCTTCGTTATTAATGCTTCGATAATATTTGGCCCGATCTTTTGTTCCCAAATTAGCTATACGCATTTGCGCCGGGTTAATGAACTTTTCGTAGTAGTCTTCTCATCTTTTTTTAGATTATAATAGATCTGAGCAAATAATTAATGGATTGAAAATGCTCATTCTCAAGTCTTATCAAGTCTTATCACGTGTCAATCTTACGTAGGTATGTTGTTTCCAAACGTAATCTGAACGTTGTATTTTTTTTTAGAAGTTTCTTCAACCGTATTATGAAATTATGTCTTTGCGTTTTTGGTTGCAATTAATAGCATTCGAAGCAAAAAGAATTCTATTGATTTGTGATTCGATCGTATAATACTCTTCGTGTTTACTCCGTAAATACATAAGACATGATAAATAAAAAAAATTAAATAGTCTTAACAAAAATAAGAATGTAAAGAACGAAAGCGCATTCTATGTTTCTCATGAATAATCTTTTGCTGTTAAAGCATCTTTCCTCATGATTGATATTCATAACGTTGCCATAGCGTATACAAAAGCATAATTTGCAATTCGTATACATATACGTAAATAATTTTGCAATACATATTGCACAAAATAGAAAAGAATAAACTTCGTTGCATTTGAGAAAATTTATTTTTGCAGATGATATATTTCGTCTTATTCGCATATATTTCCGTAGCATATTTGTTATTGTATCTTTTTTATAAAAGCAACCGCTTTGACTTCGAGCGCAAGCAAACATTCTAATATCTCTTTATCGTATTTTCCACAATATTTATATCGATAAATAAGAACAAAAGCATTTTGCTCCATTTTATTCATAAATTTCACCGTTGCTTTATAGATGTACTCGGCAATATACATAGAGATGTATTTTCTCTGAGTAAACTATCTTGTTTTACAGAGTTTTACAGAGCCTTCCTTCGGAAAAATTTTTCTAGGAAACATTTTTTAATATTACAGTTTTCCTTGTTTTATTAAAATTCGAAAATTAATATTAAAAAACAGGTTATTTACATTTTTGACGATTTGTTGGCATTTTATTAAGTTTTTCATTAACGTCATAAAATCATAAGACATTACTATGAAAAAAAAAAAAAAAAAAAAATTAAATTAAAATAATATTTTTGTTCCTGGAAAACTCTTTAAAAAAACTTGACAATAGAAAATAGAGAAAAATATACAGTAATCCTTCTCGTCATTTATTTTGCAGTCTCATACGTGTTTTTCATTCATATAAAATAAAAAGAAAGTAATGGTGAAAATGCATTTCCCTCAATAAACCGGATGTAATAGTGCTATTAATGCATATAACACGCTTGTTTAAAGAGATATACAAATCTCCTTCGTTTATCGAGAATCCATTTTTCAAAACTCGTCTGATTCCTCGCAATAGCCAGAAAACGACATTTATAAGCCACTTTCGTGTGCTTTAACGGAACATTTTCTCGCAGCCACGGTGACAATACGGGTGTCTATTCAACGGTACGGGCGCGCATTATCTTTGATAAAATACGGTATTAGGTATAACAGGAACAGCCCGGAATTGGGTCGCGCGCGCGCGCGCGCGTACGATCTTCAGCGTCGGTACCGATTTACTAAGGCAGAGTAATGGAGCCCGGGTGCTTTATGCCCTCTTTATGCCGGTGGATCCGTTCTGGTACGACCCTACGGATAGTTCACCGCGCGGCAACGACCTTTCCACCAACGCGCGGATTGATACTACGAGAAGCAAATGTTTGCCCGCGATAGCTAGGAGAAGAAGTCGACCTGAGAAACCCTTCTCGATGTTGAAACGCGTACTTTGCGCGTTTAATGAAACCCCATTCGCAGCTCAGAGCAGAGAGACGTGTCGGTGCGCTACATCTCGCGATCTCTCGCGGCTTTTAACTGAACAAATCAATCAAATTGTAAAATTTGTTTGAGAAATTTGCTTTGAGTAAGTGCAAATTAAATACATCGTTGTGGAAAAGGAGAATAATAAAAGAAATGAAAGAAAAGACGAGCACAAAAAACGCCGATGCTTTATATCGGATGCATTATATACTCATATACTTCTATACTTATATACTTATATACTTTCTCTTATAAACTTAAAAAGTTTTCATTTTTATGAAATTAAAAGAAATAATTTTTGAACTTTGAAAATTGCATTTTTATCTTCTTATTTATTTTTATTTTAATTATATCAAATATCATGTTATTTTTAACACTATTTAAGGTGTTTAATAATGAATTTGATGTTAAGAAATGTGAAAATCGATAATGCCTATCTTTTATCGTTTAAATTGATCTTAATACTATGACATGCGAGAAGGAAGGGAGGGTTGGCTCTTGAATTCTGGTTACAATAGACTACTTATTATGGACAGTACACGTTGAAAGCTATTGTCGTTAAAGGCGCTGCTTATCTCTTTACTTATGAAGTTCTTCATTGAAGCACACGATATTTTTTATGGGCTATATTACTCGATTTTGAATTTTTTACAAAATATAATTTAAATTATTATATTTATATTTTTCCTTGTGAATTATATTTTTAAATAATTTATATATGAAAGATTTTATCAGAAAACGTCTCAAAAATTTATATTAATTATACGTATCTATAAAAATGAAATTATTTTATAACATAAATCATATTTATATTAATTTAACAGTATAGTTTTTATCTACAAAAAGAGAACGTACATATTATCTATAGAAAATATCTTATACAATAGTTTATTTACCTCTTTCGACAAAGAAGAGAAGATAGTATTTCTAGAGGACACCCTATAGAAATTGACCCACATGTAGTTCTCCTTGTAACGACGCTATTAACGTGTCCGGTAAATTGACCCTTACGTCACCTGTCGCAAGTTAATTGTCACGTTTAACATGCAATTTTACTTAACTACGCCACTATATGGAAAATTGAAAATGGAGTCTAAATTCATCTTTTCATTGCATGATATTTTTATCCTACTTAAATATTAATATTTCACAACACATTTTCTCCAGTTTTTTTTAGTCAAAAATATAGTTGAGTATGAAGAATAGGATATTTGCACGTAGGACTTTGCTTATTCACTAAGAATTTATTGCCAGAATCGCGTCCATAGTTTCCAAAATTTCGTTCATAAATTATTAATAAATGAAAAATGTGCTAATAGTTTATACGATATACGAAGAGTTCGAACTTGAAATAAAGCTACACCATCTTTCTCTTTCTTGTTTGACATGATACGAGCACAAGTGGCACTCGATGACAATTGGCTCGTCACGAATGACATTGGCTCGACATTATCGTCGAATTGATTCGCGTCTCGAAATTATCGTTCATGCGTTTAAAATGTTTTCTCGATGGTGTTCGAATCTACAGTTGGAACGGTTTTCTATTCTTTTCGCAATCGTAAATCGGGGCGCACGTTTCAACATGATCGCGCACCAAGGAGCACGTAGCTACGTTCCGATAACGAAATAGCAAAATCGAACGAGCTGGCAGCTACAGGACGGTGACCCGAAATGCTCGGGCTAAGTACCTGCCTATGGAAATTTAACGCGGCACTTCACCGGCGTGTTACATTTGTAATTCATCGAGTCGCCATGTGCCATAGCTTCGACGTTACACGCCATTTAATAGCAT